GGATGAACACAGCAGGCCAAGCAGCATCATAGGAGCAGAAAGGCTGATGTTTAGGGCCTAGACCCTTCACCTGATGAAGGGCCTAGGCCCGAAACGTCAGCCTTTCTGCTCCTATGATGCTGCTTGGCCTGCTGTGTTTATCCAGCTCTGCACCTTGTTGTCTCGGATTCTCCAGCATCTGCAGTTCCTACTATCTCTGATTCAGGCTGATCATATTTGGGCAGGCATTGTATGAGTAGGTACTCCTCCATAGTGGTGAAGGGTGATTCCTTCCATTGTACGCATTGTTATCAGTCAACGTCTTGAACAGTTTTTCTTTTGTCAAGTATTTGGATTAATTTTGAATTATGCAGTTACATCTTAAAATTGTCTTGAAACTGATTTATAATTCTCAGGGAAAGCTATCTTAATACATTATTCAGTTTTACGAAATTGCATAAAATTATTTAGAACATAGAACAGTACAGGCCCTTCGGCCCATGATGTTGTTTCGACCTATTATCCTACTAAGATCAATCTACCTGCATATCCTACATTTTACTATCCTCCACGTGCCTATCCAAGAGTCGCTTAAAAGTCTCTAAAGTATCTGACTCCACTACCACTGCCGGCAGCGCATTCCACACGCCCACCACTCTGTGTGAAGAACCTACCTCTGACATCTCCCTTATACCTTCCTCCAATCACCTTAAAATTATGCCCCCTCGTAATAGTCATTTCCGCCCTGGGAAAAAGTCTCTGACTGTCCACTCTATCTATGCCTCTCATCATCTTGTACACCTCTATCAAGTCACCTCTCATCCTTCTTCGCTCCAATGAAAAAAGCCCTAGCTCCCTCAACCTTTCCTCATAAGACCTGCCCTCCAGGCCAGGCAGCATCCTAGTAATCTCCTCAGCACCTTCTCTAAAGCTTCCATATCTTTCCTGTAATGAGGTGACCAGAACTGAACACAATATTCCAAGTGTGGTCTAAACAGAGTCTTATAGAGCTGCAGCATAACCTCACGCCTCTTAAACTCGATTCCCCTGCCAATGAAAGCCACCGCACCACATGCCTTCTTTATAACCCTATCAACTTGAGTAGCAACTTTGAGGGATCTATGGACATGGACCCCAAGATCCCTCTGCTCCTCTACACTGCTGAGAATCCTGCCATTAACCCTGTATTCTACATTCAAATTCGACCTTCCAAAATGAATCACTTCACACTTTACTGGGTTGAATTCCATCTGCCACTTCTTTGCCTAGCTCTGCATCCTGTCAATGTCCCGTTGCAACCTACAACAGCCCTCCACGCTGTCCACAACTCTACCAACCTTCATGTCATCGGCAAACTTACTAACCCACCCTTCCACTTCCTCATCCAAGTCATTTATAAAGACCACAAAGAGCAGAGGTCCCAGAACAGATCCCTGCAGCACACCACTGGCCACCGAGCTCCAGGCTGAATACTTTCCATCTACTACCACCCTCTGTCTTCTATTGGACAGCCAGTTTTGTATCCAGACAGCCAAATTTCCCTGAATCCCATGCCTCCTTACTTTCTGAATGAGCATACCATGAGGAACCTTATCAAATGCCTTGCTAAAATCCATATACACCACACCCACTGTTCTACCTTCATCAATGTGTTTTGTCACATCCTCAAAGAATTCAGTAAGGCTTGTGAGGCATGACCTGCCCCTCTCAAAGCCATGTTGACTATTTCTAACCAAACTGTGCTTTTTCAAATAATCATAAACATAATGCTTTTATTTAATGCTTTTATTTTTCAGAACTGAACTTGGAGTGTGCAAATTCATCTGCAGTAAAATTAAAACCAAAGATGTCACTGCACTCATATGGAAGTCGAGAAGGATCAGTGTCAAGTCGGTCGGGAGAGTGTAGCCCAGTTCCAATGGGTTCAATTCCAAGAAGGGGATTAGTCAATGGAAGCAGAGAAAGCACTGGCTACTTGGAAGAGCTAGAAAAAGAGAGGTACTTATTACTTTATACTGTTCGAAGTAACTACAGCGATATTAGTGTTTATCCCTAATCTATGGACCTACGGTTCCTGAAAACGTTCTCGGTTTTGGTTTACCATTTCTTTAAGTCACGCCATGTGATACTAAAACAAATGCAGATATTTATGTACATAATTTTATTTAACAGTAAAATAGTAATTCTAATATCAGTTGTATGCTTATTAATTTATCATATTACAGATAGCTTAATGATTGGCATAATTCTTCGATAAGACCTTACTGCCAAGTTTTTTTCGATTGTTTTTTTCGATTGTTTTCTATGTTCATGAATGAAACGGTCTATGTATACGTATCAAACTCCATCACCTTAAGTATTAATGTTGTTTGCATGTACAAATTTAGTTGTTGTGAATCAATCTGAACACTAAATCAAGTGAATATCCCCACTTCTCACTTTGTAATGTAGGAAGTTTCACCAATGAAACAACTGAAGAAAATCAGGGTGCTGCTGTCATAACATAGAAGGCTATGGGACTAGTGTAGATTTAATGTAGCTATGGTGGTACAGACTTGATGGACCAAAGAGCCTCTTGTGTTCTGCATGATTCTTTGCTTTGAAGATGTTTGGTAGTAATGCCTTCGCGTGAGATAGTTAGCTGGCAACAACTGCAGTGTCTTATTTTGTCAATTTGACTCCTCCACGGAGGACTTTTCATCCTTGATTCCCATTCACTTAGTAGGGAGTCCATTGTAACATGCATGGTTGAATGTTACCTTGTAATCCAAGGCAGTCACTTCCCCTCAGTTTAGCTTTTGCGTCTATATTTGAACCAAGATACTGAGAAGTGCTTGAGAAACTCGATAGATCTGGCAATATCTGTGGAGGGACAAAAACCGTGTTAATGTTTTGAGACCAATGATTTTGGAACTGTTCTAGATCCCTCAGCTATTTCTTCAGATTGTCTAAAGTAGTGGAAATTGGCTAGAGTCTACAAAGACGTGGACTTTGGGTGGAAACCAAAATAGATCGTATACTGGACACTTGAGACTAAAGATGGATGCAAATCTATGACCCCTGTAAGCTGTGCACTGTGCAGCGGCTTCAGAGACACCATGTGTTTAGTTATTTATGTCTGTGTGGGCCTAGTGCTCAAAGAAATCTGTCTAAACTGACCATCCCATCATAGGTTTTCCCTCCCACAGTTGCTTCCAGTAGGCTCAGTTGTTTGATTCATTTGAGTCGTAAGTGATAAGCCTAGAAAGGAAATCAGCCTGTGATTGGGATGGTCAGGGCGAAGGAACTTTAGTACAGTCACATTAGCTTGACTACCAAAGCAGTTGTGATGCTGTGAGAGTGAAAGGGTGTGGTCAGTGAGGGACTGGAAAAGCTGTGCATAAGATTTATTTTATTCTTAATAAAGGCAGTGGTGTGTGAACGAAATGAACCAGTACTACGTCAGTGGTCCCCAAACTTGTGAATGGAAGAGGTCTTTTATAAAATTTTGTATTTTGTGAGCATCAGTTATCATTGCTAAGCATTATTGAGTGAGTAATTGATGGTTTGTTCTGGACATCTTGCTCATCATCAATATTCTGTATAAATATAAGTTCTTTTTGTATAGTTTATGTGTATGTAGACTACACTGCAGTTCTTCTGTCATGTTTTGACATTTTGTGCAGGTAACCTGATTTGAGTCAACCTCATTTAACTGCCATTGAGGAGTAACATTTCTTCAGTTAAAAATAGTTTCTAGTAAGGTGGATTTGCCAACTGCTAACATGAGTTATTAGTTGAATTTAATTTAACTAGATTCATGGGTATTTCATCTGACTACAGTGAGATTTTGGTATTTTTAAGTGGGCCTATGAGGGTTACTTATGTTACAGCACTTCCTTTTAACAGCTTTGTTTAAGCAAAATAAAAAAAAACCTCAATCAACAAAACTGGAAATCCTATGAAGTATTGCCCAGCATGTCCCTCCACAGATGCTGCCAGACCTGTTGAGTTTCTCAAGCACTTTGTTTTATTTTAAATATCCACTGTCTGTATTATTTATTTACTCACGAGCATTCAATTTAGATTGTGCCAGGGCGTCTCAGTGTCTTGGTCCAAATACAGCTGGATGAAATTGTATAAACAAAATCACAACAATCCAATGGCAAGATTCCTGTACATTTGAGGGAAGTATTCCAGTACGATGTTGTTTGGGCCTTTTTTTATTCACGCGTGGAAAGTGAGCTTTGCTGGCTGGGACAGCATTCATTCATTGCCTGTCACTATTTGCCCTTGAGAATGTAGTGGTGAGCTACTTTCTTAAACCACAGCAGTCCATTAGCTGTAGGTAGAATACAATGCTATTAGAAAGAAATTCCAGGATTTTGACCCAGTAACAATAAAGGAACAGTGGCATATTTCCAAATGAGGTGGTGAGTGGCTTGGAGGGGAACTTGCAGGTGGTGGTGTTTCCATGTATCAGCTGCCCTTGTCCTTCTAGATGGAAGTAGTCATGGGTTTGGAAGGTGTGGTCTAAGGATCTTTGAATTTCTGCAGTGCATCTTGTAGGTACTACACACTGCTGCTGCTGAGCATTGATGGTGGAGTGACTGAATATTTGTGGTTGTGGCACCATGAAGGAGGTTGCTTTGTCCTGGATACTGTCAAGTTCCTTGAGTGTTGTTGGAGCTAAGCACCTAGGGAGTATTCCAACACATTCCTGACTTGTGCCTTTTAGAGGGTGGCAGGCTTTGGGGAGTTGGGAGGTGAATTACTTGGTGCAGTATTCCTGGCTTCTGGCCTGCTTTTGTAGCCGCTGTATTTGTGTGGTGAGTCCAGTTGAGTTTCTGGTCAATGGTAACCCCCAGGATGTTGATAGTGGCGGATTCAGTGATGGTAGCACCATTATATGTCAGGAGCGGAGATCCCAGAGAGGAGCTGATCATCTTATTGGAGATGGTTATTGCTTGGCATTTGTGTGACGTGAATGTAACTTGCCACCTTTTAGCTCGAGCCTTGATATTGTCAGGTCTTGTATTTGGGCATGATCTGCAAAATTTGTGCTGAAGCTAGAATATTCAGTAATTTCTCTACTAGAAAGAAATGGAGTGATGGAAGAAAGTTGTTGTATGTGAAGAGGCATTTATCAAGCAAAGGTCATCAATTTACTACATACTGTTGGAATAAATTCATGCACATCGATGTGCGAAGTATGTTGTCACAAACCACTAATAATAGACATATGAAACTGGAACTTATTGGAATACAGCACTCGAGGTTAGAAGAAATAAATTTAAAGGCCTCAGACAAAGTATCTGCATATACCAGAAAGCTGACCGAATAGCCAAAAAAACAATGTTTTTGAGTTTCTTGGAACTAATCCACACCTTTGTCCATCAGGAGGTTATGTTAGAGCCTGTCTTCCTATCATTTTTTTTGATGACATGTGCAGATACTTCTTAACAGGGTGCTTATAATTTACGTTCAGAGCTACAGCATTTGCAGTGCACAAGATTGTGTTTGGTGGTCTTATTTGTCTGCTTGCAATGTGCAAGATTTTTACAGCTGCTATCAAAGATTTTTAAAAGCTGAATAAACCGAACATTATAAAAAGCAATGTTCACTTCAGATGGAGTATTAGGGGGAAAAGATAATGCCACAACTTGAGCAGTGCATTCCACATTTAGTAGAACAATATTATATGCCTTATTAAGAAGATTGGGTTAAGAAGATAGGAGCAGGAGGAGGCCATTCGGCCTTTTGAGCCTGCTCTGACATTCATCACGATCATGTCTGATTGTCCAATTCAATATCCTAATCCTGCTTTCTCCCAATAACCTTTGATCCCAGATAACAAGGTGTAGAGCTGGATGAACACTGCAGGCCAAGCAGCATCAGAGGAGCAGGAAAGCTGACGTTTCGGGCCTTGACCCTTCTTCAGAAAAACCTTTGATCCCATCCGCCCTAAGTGCTATATCTAGTTGTCTCTTGAATATATTGTGTTTTGGCATTAACTACTTCTTGTGGTAATGAATTCCACAGGCTCACCACTCTTTGGGTGAAGAGATGTCACTTTGTATCCATCCTAAACAGTCTATCCCGAATCCTCACACTGTGACTCTTGGTTCAGGACACACCCACCATTGGGAACATCCTCCCTGCATCTATCCTGTCCAGTCCTGTTAGAATCAAAGTACCCACGATAAAGGAAATGGAGAGCCTTTTGAAGATCTTTGTACAGGTCTTCTGTTCAAAAACGGCAACTTGAGTCTGAGGATGTCACAGAAAATATTTCTAAGTGAGGTGACTTATTAATAAGATATTTTGCTGTAAGCATTTTGCGCAAATAAGGCCCTACTTAGATATGTTGAATCTGAAATCTCAGAAAATAATGAAGTTTCATGTCACTAATTACCATACAACTCTCGCAGAATTAAATAATGTATTGTGTTAAGTAGCTAAATTTTCCCAATGCTTTCAGAAAAGGTCTTTGATACAACTTGAAACTATACATGTAGCAAGGGCCAAGATCTACAAGATAAAAGTACAGTATCCAGGTGAAGTATCTCTAGGAGCAGCAATGTGAAAATGTGTGTAATTGCATTGAACACAAGATCGTTAATTCTGAAGTGAATTTCTTGTATGTCGCATATCCCTATTTTGAGTACTTTTCTAGAAGGCAACTAAATGAATGCTCAGATTTTGAGTTTGATTTGCTATAATGTTATGAAACTGAGATGCATGACATTAGCAAGCCAGCTGGCAAGCATGGAAAAACTTTGAATATTAATTGACATTTAGTTGAGCAAAGTCATCTCTCAGAACTCCATGGAGGAGGATGAGTTTTTTTGTAAACCAGTATAAGGATTACAAATACATTGTTGCAGAGTAATGAAGCAAAATTAATGACATATTTCTAGAAAGTGGTGACTTAATGTATACGAACTGCAAAATAGTGTAGTTTCGCAGCTGACCGATAATTGTGCAATCTTTTAAGCTTCCAGTGCAGATATAAGTATGGCTTTTGCCTTGTGAATAATATCAAAACTAAATCTTGAAACTAACTGAAAGAAAATTACCTGTGAAGAACTAAACCTTTAAATTTTGGATTGTCACAATAGTGTTAAAAATAGGTTATTAATTTTCAACTTTGATCATCTGATTTTAATGCTTGAAAATCAGTTACAACACAGGAGGTGGCCATTTGGCTCATTGTGTTTGCACCTGCTCTCGAAGTGAGCATTATGACTTAGTGCCATTCTCCAGCCTTTTCACCATACTCTGGCACATTGGATGAATATTTGAATAAAATCAGTGAACTTTAAAATGCCTCAATTGAGCCTGCTTCCTCCAGATTTCCAGGCAGTGCAGTCAAGACCTGAGCTACTTGTATGATTTTTTTTTTGTTTAAATCACACTTGCTACTTTTGCAAACCACTTTGAATCTGTGCTCTCTTGCTCTCCTGTGAGCAGGAATGGTTTCTTCCTATCTAATCTATCCAGCGCCATCATGATTTTAGAAACTTCTATCAGATCTTCCTTAGCCGTCTTTCCAGGCACAACCGTTCCAATTTAAGACCATAAGTCAAAGGAGCAGAAGTAGGTCATTCAGTCCGTTGGGTCTGCTCCATCATTCAAGGAGACCATGGCTGATCTGATAATCCTCAATTCCGCCTTCCTGCATTTTCCCTATAACTCATGTTTCCCCTCCTGATTAAAGTTGAGATAGATAACCCAGCCTGGCAGGCCCCTATGGTAGGGGATTCCACAGATTCATTATCATCAGAAATTAAACGTGTAATTCAGTATACTGAGATTAGGTTTTCTGGTCCTGTATTCTCCCATTAGGAGAGATGATCTTTCCATACCTATCCTGTCAAGTCCACTAAGAACCTTGCATGTTACAGTAAGATCACCTCTCATTCTTCTATATTCCCATGAGTACATACTCAACCTACTCAACATCTCTTCAAGACCGTTCCTTCATACCTGGGATCAACCCAGTGAGCCTTCTCTGAATGGGCAGCATAGTGGCTCCGTGGTGAGCACTGCTGCCTCACAGCAGCAGGGACCCCGGGTTTAATTCCACCCTCAGGCGATTGTCTGTGTGGAGTTTGCACATTCTCTCCGTGTCTGCGTGTATTTCCTCCAGGTGCTCAGTCCAAAGCTATGCAGTTAGGTGGTTTGGACAGGCTAAATTGCCCATAGTGTCAAGGGGTGTCCATGGGAAATGCAGGCATAGGGTAGGGGAGGAGGGTAATGTCTGGATGGGATGCTCTTTGGAGGGTCGGTGTGATTTTGATGGGCCAAATGGCCTGTTTTCACACTGTAGGGATTGTATGATTCTATGAACTGTCTCCAATACCGCTCACCACCCTGCCTTGGAAATGTCACTGGTCCTTCGTTGTTAGTAGGTCAAAATCCTGGAATTCTTTCCTAACGGCATTGTGGGTTAGCCTACAGCATGTGGATTGCAGTAGTTCAAGAAGGGGACTTCACCACCACCTTCTCAAGGGCAACTAGTGACAGGCAACAAATGCTGGCCAACCAGCGATGCCCACGTCCCACAAATGAATAAAAAAATTACCCTAATTTAAGCTTAGCACAGTTATTTCTGATGCGCGTTCCTCCCTGTCTAGTTGGATGCTAATTTCTTCCATATTACCGTCACTGTTTCCAAGGGGATCTTTTCCTCTAACATGTATTTACCTTGTCTCATTACACATCACCAGATCCAAAACAACCTGATCTCATTCAATCCATAACATGGTTCTAGGGAACTATGAATTCTTCTTCATGCGTCCTCTGCCATTCTGACTATCTCCATCTCAATCTACATGAAGATTAAAGTCACCTATAATAAATGTACTGCCTTTGTTATAGGCCCTCATTATCTGATTTATTCTCTATCCCTCATGTAGCTACTGTTAGGAGGCCTATAGACTACTCCTACCAGTGTCGTCTCTACATTTTTTATTTCTTTCTTCCACGCATATGCATTCTGCACTTTCAATTCAAGACCATTTCTTGCTAATATACTTATTCCATTCCTTGCCAACAATATTATCTCACCATTCTTTCCTTCCTGCCTGTACTTTCAAAAAGTCACATCACTGAATGTTTAGTTCCCAGCTTTGATCTCCTTTTGACCATTTCTCTGTAATGGCTGTAACATCTGTTAACCTGTATTTGGGTGGTTAATTCAATTTTTTTCTAAATAAACAGCCATTCCTTTTGACTGTTCACCATATTGACACTATTTACTACTGTTTTTCTATATTTGTATACCCTGTCCCACTGTGGTGAATCATTATCCAAATTGCTGCCCTATAGTGTAGTTTTTTCCTTTTGCTTTGGAAGCCTACATTTCTCGCTCTCCCTGCAATTAGTTAAAACCCTCTCTAAACACTATTCGAATTTCCAGGAAACTGGTCCCAACACAGTTCAAGTGAAGCATATCCCATCAGAACAGCCCCAGAACTGGTGCTGGTGCCCCACTAACTGAAATGCATTCCACCTGCACCTGTCTGAGCCACACATTTCTCTCCTTGACTTTATTGACCCTATGCCAGTTTGCCTGCAGCTCAGGTAGTAATTCGGAGATGAGTAGCTTGGAGGTTATGCTTCTGAGTTTAGCTCCTAACTGTTCAAAGTCGTTCAGCAGATCACCCTCCACCTCCCCCTTCCAGTCCTACCACCAGTGTTGTTGGTGCCAATGTGGACAATGACTACTGGATTCCTCCTCTCCTTCTAATCTATTTTCCAGTCCCAGGATGTGCTTAACACTGGCGCTGAGCAGGTAACACAGCCTTTGGGATTCCCAATTACGGTTGCAGACAGCAATATCTAGCCCCCAAATTATACTGCCCCCTGTCACAAATACATACCTATCTTCTTCCCCCACTTGAAAGGCTCCCTGTACGAAGATGCCATGGATAGTTTGAAGTCCTCATTCTTATCTGCACACCTTACAAGAACCTCATAACAGTTGGACAATTGCAGGGATTGAAGCTCCTCAATTGTTACCCTGGGTCCTCATACTTGCCTCAGCTGTAGGTACACCCTCCTGTCCCTGATGACAGATTAATTTCGAATTACCTAATCTGGAGAGTGTGACTATTGTTTGGAACAAAGTTTCCAGGTAATTTTTCCCTTCCCCGATGTGGTGCAATGTCTGCAGCTCGAACTCCAGTTCTCAATTTGGATCTGAAGTTCCTCGAGCTGCAAGCACTTGCAACAGATGTGTTCATTCTACATGACTTAGGTGTCCAGCAACTTCCAGATATTACAGCAGCAATACATCACCCATCCTGCCATCTCTGTCACATTTGATTTAACTAATAAATTAATCACCTGATTTCCTGCTCTTTTCACTTCACTGTACTGACACATTTGGTTTATAAACTAAATAAGCCAGTATTAATCTAATGCTTGAACAATTATTTTTAAAAAAAGAAAGAAGATAAACACTAGAGACCTAAACACAACCTTATGAACTGACTTTTATTTTATCGACTAGAAGTATTCATCAGTCCAACTCCCCATCAGCTTCTATCATTGCATTCATGTCACTTGCTGTAGTTTGTGACAGCACTGCACTGCTGGTCTCACTTCAGGTCAGCCCCTTGATCCACTCCTTTCAACCTTTCCCAATCATCGCTCACTCTGGAGAGTTTACTTCTTGCATTAAACCCTAGTAGAAGCAATTTTGTCCCACTTCACATCAAATTTCCAACCATAGTCAGTTACTCACCTGGTCTTTGTCTCCCTCTGCTGCCATCCTATGCTGACCGTGATGCATACTAATCTGCAGTGGTGAATGACGTCTCTTCAGAGAACCTTTTTTTTGCTACAATAAGCAACATTTTTATTTAGACAAAGGAATTCAGATGCTTGAATTTGAACAAAATCAAGTAGCTACCTCCTTTAATTGGGCTATTTTACTTGATTAAAGAATCAGTTCTAATGTGACATTAATTCTGAAAACTGAACTTAATTTCCACTTTGAGCCAAATTTCCAACAGTAGTCAGTGACTCACTTGGGCTTTGTCTCACTCTGCTGCAGTCCCATAATGACTCTGTGCTTCTTACTCTTGTACATTTCAATAAGGTCACCCCTTATTCCTCTAAGCTCTAATGAATAAAGACCTAGCCCGTTCAATTGTTGTTAACGTTCAACCCGTTCATCCTAGGGATCAGTCTAGTAAACCTCTTTTGAACTGCCTCCAGTTCCAGTATATCTTCTCCAGGGAAATTCAGTGATGGTAACATCATTGAATGTCAAAGGGCGATGGTTTGATTATCTCTTATTGGAGATTGTCATTGCCAGGCATTTGTGTCGTGCGATTGTTACTTGCCACTTGTCAGCTCTAGCATGGATATTGTGTAGATATTGTATTTGAACACTGACTGCTTCAGTATCTGAGGAGTCACAAATAGGGCGGAACATTGTGCAATCGTCGGCGAACATCCCCACTTCTGACCTTATGATGGAGGGAAGGTCATTGATGAAGATGGTTGGGCCTGGAACACTATCCTGATGAACACCTGCAGCAATGTCCTGGAGCTGAGATGACAGACTTCTAACAACTGAAACCATCTTCCTTTGTGGCAGGTATGACTCCAACCAGTGGAGTGTTTGCCCCCAGTGCCCATTGATTCCAGTTTTGCTAGGATTGCTTAATACTACACTACAGCTATTTTGCTGAACATCAGAGGAACCATATCAAGCAGTTCAAGTTTTGAGAATTGGTTAAAAATAAGACATATCATTCAGGATCAAAAACCTGCATTTATAGCCTACCCTTGCCATAAAAAAATGTCTGAAGGTTATTCAGAGGAATGTGGAAAGACAAAAATTGACTCAAAATAAGGGATGTTAGAAGGGATGACTTAAAGCTTGGTCACAGTTTATTTATTGAGAGTCTTAAAAGAGGTTTAGGCTTTAAACTCCAGAACTTGGGACTTTAGAAAGTTGAAGATGGGAAGGAAGAATGGGAATTTTAATTTGGAAGACTTGAGAGACAAGTGACAATTGTGCACCTGTCTTTGAAATTTGGAACAATCAAGTTGGAAAAGACAAAGCCATGGATGAGGATTTTGACAGCAAATTGCTAGAGCAGTGACAAAGATATAAGTAACGTTATGTGGATGAAAATTGGCCGCCTTTCATAATGGACAAGAAAGAGAGTCGAACGTTAATTTTGGGCTCAAATAAAACACCAAAGTTGCCATCGTCCTCGAGCTGTGATGTGGCAGGAAATGGGATCTATTTTGAATGGCGCAGAGTGTGAGGACAATGCCAACATCTTTTGAAAGAAGGAAATTACGCCTGATCTGGATGTGGATACCAGATAATTTGACAACGATAATTTAATGTTATGTAGATCCCTTTAATGTAGTAAAAAGTATTGGGTTCTGCCAGGGCCACTCAGCTCCTGACTTTATCACAGTCTTGGTTCAACCATGGGAAAAAGAGCTGAACTCCACGGCTGGGGAAAAACTGACTGCCCTTGACATCAAGGCCACATTTGACTGAATGAAATCAAGGAACCCTGACAAAACTAGGTTCAATGGAATTATGGGTTAAACTTACCACTGGCTGGAATCATACTTGGCATGAAGGATGGTTGTGGTTGTTGGAAGTAAGTCATTTCAGTTCCAGACAACTTCATGTCCAAAGCAGAAGTTGCTTTATCAATTACCTTCCCTCCATCAAATGATCAGAGGTGGGAATGTTCACATGATTGCATAATGTTCGGTAGTGATTCAGATACTGAAGCAGTCCGAGGTAATATGCACTAAGACCTGTGACAAGAGACATTTGTGTCACACAAGAGGCAATGACTGTTGCAACAAAAGAGAATTTAACAATCATCCCTTGATATTTTAATCACATTAGTATGGCTGAATCCCCTGCTATCAGTATATCTGAACTGGAAGAAACAAAATCCCAGGGCTTCACAAGTAATATCAAAGTCTGACATCAAGTCTCTCAAACCGATATTAGACTCGTGATCAAAAGCTTGATCGAAGATTAAGAATTATTAAGGATTACTTAAAGGAGGAGAACATGATAGAGAGGCAGAGCAGGTATGAAGCACAGAGATATTGGAAAGGTTGAGACAGGTGATGAAGCTAAGTAGCATTAGTGTATTTGTGAAACCAGACGAATGTGGGAGAAATTGGTTAGCACCATTCTCCTGGCACAAACTGGGTTCGGGGTCCAAGGCCAAATCTGAAGAAGACATGATTCCCTTTCAACATTAAGATGCTTGACCCGTGGGTGCCTGCAATGTATCCACTGACAGTTTGTTGTCAAAGCAGTGATCGGTTTGTGTAATGCAGAGGATGTGGAGGCTGGTGATTAGGAAACGGCTAGGCAGACATTGATGGTCTTTGGCACTTTGGCGGGCAGTCATTATTGAGCTTCAATTGATCTCACTTTGTTTACTTAATACTTAGACTTTGTGTTCATAGCTCGCTCACCTAGGAATCATATGCAACTAAACAGGCTTCATGAAGAACAATATAAATATGTCAAAATTTTTAAAAAATGAAAAAAAATCATAGTGCACTGTGCATTTCATGGCATAGAACTGAAGTCTTTGCAACATAGCCTGACGTTTAAATGCATCTAGGAAGACCATGAGAGAATTGCTACAGAAAATAAAGATGAATTGCATCCATGAGCAGATTAATATCTTATGTGATTTGTTTACATGTTCCTTATGTAAGTGCACTGTAATTTTATAGTTTCCGTTTATTTGCAAGGTCTTTACTACTTGCTGAGATTGAAAAGGAAGAGAAGGAAAAGGATTGGTACTATGCACAACTTCAAAATCTCACCAAGAGGATTGATAATCTCCCTCTCACAGAAAATGTAAGTTAAGTTGAATTTCTGCTGATTGTATCCATGGGGTGGGGGGCACGGTGGCTCAGTGGCTATCAATGCTGCCTCATAGTGCCAGGGACCCAGGTTCAATTCCACCCTCAGGCGACTGTCTGTGTCGAGTTTGCACATTCTCCGTGTGTCTGCGTGGGTTTCCTCCCACAGTCCAAAGACGTGCATGTTAGATGCATTGGCCATGCTAAGTTGTCCATAGTGTTCAGGGATGTGTAGATTATGGGGGATGAGTCTGGGTTCGGGTGCTGTCAGCACTGGTGTGGACTTGTTGGGCCGAAGGGCCTGTTTCCACACTCTAGGGATTCTATGATTCTGTCATCATTATTGTTTATATTGATAGGAACATGTAATTTTGTAAAATTTCTCTTGTTATTAGATAAATAATCTTATCTGTAATCTTTCACATTGTTAGTTTTATTTATGCTCATGGGATCTGGTCTTCACTGGCAAGGGCCATTTCTTGTTGAGCTTAATTATGCTTAAGGTGCCTTCTTCAACTGCTGCAGTCAGCATAGTGAAGGTTTACCCACATGCTGTAATTTAGGGAGCTCCAAAATTTAGACTGAACAACTGTGGCAGGTAGAATTTAAGGAAAACCCAAACATGTTTTATCAGTACATTTAAGAGGAAGGAAAAGGTAGAAATGTACTAGGTAACTTTGTGCAGATGCGGATGATTTTGGCAGGGCTCTAAATGAGTGCTTTGGCTTTACAAAGGCGAGAGATCATGCAGGCATTCTAGTTAAGGATAGGGAAATATTGCAGACAATAAGCATAAACCAAGAGGAAGTGCTGGAGGGAGTGACATCCAAAATCACTCGGGCCAGATGAATTGTATTCCCAAGCTGTTGTAGTAACCCATAGGGAAAACAGTGAGTGCACAGAAGACCAATTTCCAATCCTCGTTAGATACAGACATGGTACTGAGTTATTTGATGTCTGCAAATACTATACCATTGTTTAATAAGGATATGAGGGATAGGCTAAATAATTATAGGGCAATCGGTCTGACCTAAGTGGTGGGCACACAATTGGAATCACCTCTTGCTTATGTTTGACCAAGGCTTGAATGAGATCTGGAACTGAATGATTCCCACAGAACGTATGAATATTGGTGAACAAGTTATCGGTGAGTCAGTGCTCTGATCGTTGTGTTGTTGACACTCTATTTCTTTGATCAAGAACACACTAATGGGCCTCTTCTTGGCCAGATTGAATTTGTCTTCATTTTTGAGGTGATATCCAAACTATTTTCCACTTTTAAATGAATGCCAGCACTGCATGTGTACTAGAATGACCTGGCTGGAAGAGAGAGTCAGTTCTGGAGCACAAGTATTGTTGGTGGAGCCTGTAGACTTTAATGTGTCCAGTGTCTTGTTCATTTCTGGATATGACATGGGATTGATTATATTGGTTCAAGACTGGCTTCTGTGATGTTGAGAACCTCAGGATGGAGGTAGAAATGGATAATGTACTAGATATTTTTGCCTTCAAACATCCTCATTGTTTAAGAGTTGATTTTCTGCTTTTACAGTAAAGGTACTATTAAGGCTATGTGCTGCCATGAAATGACATTTTGTGGTTGAATGTAATTAAGTTTCCCATAGAACCCATGGGTGCTCAGTTTTGAATTGCTAGATCTTTTCCAAATCTGTTCCATTGGCCAAGCAACATGACGGAAGATGTCCTCTTCGTGAAAACATTCACCTTCATAAAAACGGGCTATTAGGATTTGTAAACATTATTAGCTTGAACGTCTTTAGAATGTTGTTATAGAGGATTACAGCAGCAAAAATGTATAATTCTGACACTTAGTTTAATGAAATTTAGCAGACATGAGCAGGGAAGAGCAAAAAGGTAGCATTGGTCAAAGAGAGATTCCAAAGAGATTGTTGCATCCAGTATGTAGGCAGGTTTTAGAGAGAGCATTCTGAATAAGAGTCAGCAGTCACTTGAAATTATTTTTGCTGAAGAAGTAGGGCCTTGGGTAGTGCTGTAGAACAGAGGGACGTAGGAGTTCAGGTACATGATTCTTTGAAATTTGCGTCACATATAGATAGGGTGGTTAAAAAGGTGTTTAGCACGCTTGCCTTCATTGCTCAGTCATTTGAGTATAGGAGTTGGGAAGACATGTTAAAGTTGTACAGGACATTGGTGAGGCCTCTTCTGAAGTACTGTGTCTAGTTCTGGTTGCCCACTTACAGGAAGGATATTATTAAGCTGGAGAGGTTTCAGAAGAGATTTACCAGGATGTTGCTGGGTATGGTAGGTTTGACTTATTAAGGCAGGATTGACTGGAAGTTTTTTCACTGGAGCGCAGAAGGTTGAGAGATGACCTTAGAAGTTTATAAAATCATGAGGGGTATAGATAGGGTTAATGGTAGGTGTCTTTTCCCTAGGTTGGGGCATTTCAAGACTAGGGGGCACATTTTTAAGGTGAGAGGAGAGAGATTTTAATAAAAGACATGAAGGGCAAATTTTTTACACAGAGGGTGGTTCACGTGAACTTCCTGAGGAAGTGGTGGATGTGGACACAATTGCAGCATTTAAGTGACATTTGGATGGATGCATGAATAGGAAAGGTTTGTAAGGATATAGCCAGGAGCAGGCAGGTGGGACTAATTTAGTTTGGGATTATGTTTGGTCCAACCAGTCAGCAAATTGTAAGTGTCCGAATTGTACATTTTTGCTGCTGTAGTCCTCCATAACAACATTCTAAAGAAGTTCAAACTAATAATGTTTACAAATCCTAATAGCCAGTTTTTATGAAGGTGAATGTTTTCAGTCGGCAAGGACTGGTTGGACCAAAGGGTCTGTTTGCGTGTTGTATGTCTCTTATGACTCTAAGTTAGTAAAGCATGACAGACACAAGAGAAATGGATGTGTGCAACACCTCAGTCAGTTTCAAAGATGGGAGAGGTGAAACCAGATCAGTTACCTCCTTGTATTATCATTATAATATTTAAATTATAATTCTATTGATTTAGTCATCTTTGGATAGTTTTCTGTGCAGACAGACATGACTAGGAGACAGTTGGAGTATGAAGCACGGCAAATTCGATCTGCAATGGAAGAACAACTGGGAACCTGCCAGGATATGGAGAAGCGAGCTCAGGTAGTATCAGAGCAATTTCATGGTATAGAGTTACACCTACATATGGAATAACTTGTATGTTAAATACCTCAAGAAAATAATAGTGCTGGAAAATAATAGATTGGAACTTCACACTGCACGGATTGAACAGAATAGTTCATTTATTTGTATCATTTAGTCACTGGAATATAATTTTAAATGAAAATCTCAAGATAAATTGTCAATCTATTGATTGAAAAGAAAGGGAGTTGGTATTGTTGCTTAAAGTTCAAAATTTTTTTGATTAAAATGATCATCGATTTTAAACTTTAATTTGTTGGAAGGAGTAATGTGGCAGTTCTATAAACATGGTAAAGTTTGTTTTTCTCCAATTAAGAATAAAACATGCGAAACAGAAAAATTGTAGTCATGCAGTTTTAACCGGCTAGGCAAAGTTTCTTTTTCTAACTGTAGTTCATCCTGTGCAGATGAGAGTAGTCCGAATTCAGCAAATTGAAAAGGATATGCTTCGTTTGCGACAGCACTTACAGTCCCAAGCAACAGAAACTGAGGTCATTATGTCTTTTTTATCATTTATTTAGCATTTAAATTATGATTTGGTTCTGATTGCATGGTTCACTTTAAACATCAAACTTGGAGAAAGTCAGTTTTCCTTATATAAATAATTATGTCAGAACTGTGTACAGTTACTTATCGGTTAGGCTATCAGCATGAAACTACACGGCTTCCGGATCACTACATTTTTGAAACTTGTTTTTTGCTTCAAAATGTCTACT